GACTTTGTGAGTCTTCATTGATCATTTCTACCATTTTTTTAAGATTTATTTTTTAATTATGTGTGTGTGTGTGTGTCTGTGTGTCTGTGTGTCTGTGTGTGTCTGTGTGTGTTTGTGCCCGTGTCTGTAGGTGCCCATGAAAGGCAACAGATCCCCAGATCTGGAGTTACAAGTAGTTGTGAGCTACCCAACATGGGTGCTGGGAACTGGACTCGGGTCCTCTGCAAGAGCAGTTAAGTCATCTTTTCAGCTCTTCCACCTAATAATTTTGAGGCAGTCTCTGATATGAACCCAAAGCTTGCTGATGTGGCTACTCTTAGATAGCCACCTTGCTCTGGGGATCCCTTCGCTCTGTTTCCCAAGTGCTAGGATTATAGAACACCAAGCCTGCCTGGCATTTATGTGGGTGCTGGGATCCAAACTCCCATCCTCATATTTGTGTGTCAAGTGCTTTATTTGCTGAGCCATCTCCCCGGGCCCCGTGTTTGGAAATGTTTTGAAATTGATTATACTTAATAGTGGGTTTTTGTATGATTTTCTTGTTAGTTTCTGTGGTGTCTGTAGTATTTGTACATGGGCAATACTGTAGCCTCTGGTTCCCACTTAGCAAGTCCAGGAAGTCCATGTAGGTTCCATTCCAAGTAGAATAATACTTTGCCATTTTACTCCTCCACGCTCACTACTTATACATCCCATACAGAACAAGAATGTACTAATGGTGGTGGTGTATTGTGAATACCAACAGAAAGCTGAGTGGAAGTCATCTTGACTTCAAAGGAAATCTGGACTGGGTAAATGGCTCAAGGAATAAAGTACTTGCCACAGAATATGAGGATCTGAATTCAAATCCCCCCAGTACATGTTAAAACTGGACAGAGCAGTTCACGTCTGTAACATTCCTGTGGCGAGATTGGAGGTGGAAACGAGTGAATCCTCAGACTCTCAGGAGCCAGCTAGCCTTGCATACGTAGATGTGAGTAACAGGAGACCCTTTCTCAAACAAGATGGAAGGTGAGGACTGACACCTGAGGTCCTCATCTGACCTCCACATGCCCCGCCATGGCATCTCCATGCCCTTCACTCACACGTGTGCACACACAATTAAAAGAGAAAGGTCCTGGGTTGGAGAGTCACAGTGCCTTGCCCTTGGAAAGGGCTCAATGAGTTTTGACTTTTGTGTTATTGAATGAGGGAAATTTTTCATCTCTCTAGGCTACAGTTTTTTTTTTTGGGGGGGGGGGTTGTTTGTTTTTTTGTTTTCAAATTTTTCATTTGCTTTTATTGAGACATAGCATACTCATATTTATGGGGTAAAATGTGGCAATTTGATATGTGTTTACAGTATGT